GCATGGCCCGGCTCCGCTCCCGCGGCGGGACGCGGACAGCGGGTCAGGCAGCGCCGGGCTCGGTGCGGGCTCGGCCGGGCCCCGCTCCGCACGGCTCGCCTGCCCTCCAGCGGCCGCTCCGCCGCCCCGCACCGCCCGGCTCGCCGAGCCGCTTCCCCCGCCTCGCGGTTGGGGGGGGTTTTGATGGTTTTGGGTGGGGTTTTTTTTTATGTTAAGAAAAAAACTCACACACTGAGAGCGTGTGGTAACTCTTTCCCCGTGTCTGAAAGCTCGTTTATAGCAGACAAGATGCCAGGAACCGTTAACCTCCACGCATAGCCGAACTCTCCACAGAGCGCCCAACGTCAGTTAACACCTTATTAAGTGAGAACATAACCATAGCTCAGAACGCTGAGCTTTCCAAATTCTCCACTCGAATAACAGCATCGGAACAGGGTGTCGGTCCCAGCTGCTCCCACTGCTGCAGGGACTGAGGCACTTGCTCCCCCGGCACCCTCAGCCAAAATCAAGCAGCATCTTTAATCTCTGGAGTTCATCACTGGGGACCCTTCAGGCACAAGTCACGGGGTTTTTCAGCCCATGGTTTCAGGCCCAAGAGGCACAGAAAACATAAAAAAGTTTTAAGACAGTGATCAAAGTAAGTCCTTATAAAACCTCCAGCACTAACACACACCTATCTACCAGACTTCACACTTCTGGTCTTCTGAATCTGCAAGTCAAAAAAAAAAAAAATCCAAACTGCTGTCAGTTGCTGATGTCACCAACATCAGAGGCCCCAGGCATCCCTGTCACAGCGGTCCCACAGCACCTTGCCACAGCTGAAAGCTGTTTTCACAGGTGTCCAAGACCATCAGAGCCACCATCCTGAACCCTACAAGTTGAGTTCACTGAGATGCCTGCTCTGGAATGTTACAAACAGAATTTGGGCACTCTTAAGATTACAGTATTTAGCTTAGATGTGAAAATATTCCATATATTCCTAATCACCCCCAGCACCTGATTTCCTGGCAGCTCTTTGGGTGGGAGAAGCCTATGCTATACCATCTTATGCTATTGGGTGCTGCTCAGTCAGCCACAGGAGAGGCACCCATGGCATGGGGTCAAGCCCAGTGTTTCCACATGCATCAGCCGCCCAAGGAGCCCCTGCACAGCACACACAGGAGCTCTACAAAGCCAGAGGCAATAACTCCTCTGGGACACTCACAGCCACTCGTACTCACCTGTGACCACAAGCTTTGGTTGTTCCTCAGGCTTTCCATCGTGGCAGCCCCATCACCTGCCTCCAAGAAAAGGCTCCTTAGACAGCAACCAGTGGTCCAACACCCAAGCTGGCCCAGGGCTGCTGCACCTGGTTGGAAGCAGAAAAGCTAGAAAAGGAATTTGAAGCTGCTGCTAACATTCATAATTTTAATTGCCCCACAACAGCAGGGAAAGTTAGAGCAGCTACAGAAGAGCTGTCAGCTACACATGGAAAAACTCATCACAGGCTATGCTGGCCCAGCCCATGCTGACACACCAAGTGACCACCATAACCTGATTGAGGACAAGGGACTTGGATCCACACAAGGCAGAAGGCACCTGGACACTTCAAACAGCACAAACTACCAGGGCAACACCAGGGATTGTTTTAAAAAGGGCACATGAGGTGTCTTCTTTTTTCAGTTATTTCATTTGCAATCACACAAGTTCTTTATTTAAACTAGATCCATGTTTTGTGCCTCATTAGTCTGGCAAAACTATTTAATCTTTAATATCCCAATAGTTACCTGGAGAATAATACCAATATTGGGTGAATCTCAGGCTACCAGCCTTGAAGAACACAGATGGGCACAGAATAGAGATGAGGCAGCTCGTATGTATCTCTGAAAAAAACAGAAATATAATTTAGCTGCATGTTGTTATGAATGTGTGTGTACATATATATATATATGAAATATTCAAAGCTCCACAGACAGACCTGTTGCTCCACTGCTGAAGGCTGCCATGTGATCTGATTCCCAACACAAATCGAGCCAGAACAGTCGATGCCCACTGTAAAACCTTTAAAGCTGTTTATTTTTCACACAGCACATTCCATGTGTGAAGGCTGGTGCAGCAGGTTCCTGAGAGCTTGATCTTCTCAACACTTTATTAAGCAAGACACAGACCAGGTTGGTCTGTGCAGTGCAGGGTGTCCCTGGGAGCTCTCAGGGTTGCTGCCTCCCACTCACCCATGCAAATGCCTGAATTAAGGCTGTATCCTACAGTGCCTCAGTGGCTTATTGGATTAGTGGCCGCTCTGCAGCAGCTCAAATTGAAGTCTGAGCAGCATGACCTTTCACTCGCAGGGCAGTGAAGGTGCCCCTGGTGAAATGAGCTTCCCTTGCCCTGCTCCAGTGGTCCATATCACACGAGGAGTGGGCATTTCACAGAGCACGAAGCTCTTTCAATGGAGCCAAGGACTTAAGAGTATGCTTGAGTGGGAAACCTTCCCACCCCCTGGAGACCCCTTTGGAATGTGAATGAGAAGCCAGCAGGAAAGGCCAGCACAGGATCTGGCCCCGCTGCATCTGGAGTACCAAGACTTAAATTAAAATGAAAAAACCTGGTCTGATGTTTTATAAAGACCAAGTCCAGCTCTACATCCAAGCCCTGCCACTGGTGAGCAAACCTGTGTGCTATTTGCTCCTGTCATCTGCATCCCCAGCCTTGTGCTGTTTCAATAAAAAGTCCTTACTGAATATCAGATGGAAGAGAGTTTCTGCAATTGAAACTCCAGGTAAAAGCAAAGACAACTTTTAGACTGGCTGGGGCGCATGTTCTGTTTTTCTCCAGTTTACACACAAAAAGGCAATTCCTTCCCAAGGTAAGAAACACTTCTGCCACATAGTCTGGACAGACAGGGAGAGAGGGGATGCTTTGCAGTTACCATCATTTGACAGAAGAGCCACCTCAAAACAACCCTGAACTGATGCCCAGGAGGACAGAACTTCAGCCTCAGCATCATCACATTCAGCCACAGTCTTGCAGAACATGGTGAATAACAGTCAGGATTTGGATTCAGCCATCACAAAGCCTCGGGCTAAAGCCCTGATTTGAGGCACTGGAAGTACAAAGCACAGAACCATATATAATATGTAAAAACACAGAACAGTTTGGAATGGAAGGGACCTTCAAGATCATCTCATTCCACCCCCCTGCCATGGGCAGGGACACCTTCCACTAGCCCAGGTTGCTCCAAGCCCCGTCCAACCTGGCCTTGGACACTTCCAGGGATCCAGGGGCAGCCACAGCTTCTGTGGGCAACCTGTGCCAAGGCCTCGCCACCCTCACAGGGAAGAATTCTTTCCCAATATCCCATCTAACCCTGCCCTCTGGCAGTGGGAAGCCATTCCCCCTTGTCCCAAGTCCCTCTCCAGCTCTTTAGGAGCTCCTTTAGGCACTAGAAGGGGCTCTCAGGTCTCCCTGAAGCCTTCTCTTCTCCAGGTTGAACAACCCCCAGCTCTCCCAGCCTGTCTCCATAGCAGAGGTGCTCCAGCCCTCAAAGCATCTCCATGGCTTCCTCTGGACTCTCATGTAAATGAAATTCCCATGAAAAGTCTCCAAACCTTTTGTAAGTCATCAGCGTGGTGGGTGGCAGTGTGGCCACTCACACATGGATACTCACATATGGGAGAACAGAGAAGGTGGTACAAAACAAACCAACCCACGTTTTGTAGATTCAAATGCATTCCCTGAGACAGAGCCCTTTGGTGTTCGGAAATTTTGTAGTGGTGCTGCCTTGGTTGGTCCCTGGTGAAGGACCTGTGGGCCATCAAACTGAAGCTGCGAGGCTGGAAAGCTGCTGGTGCTCAGCCCCTGAAGCTCAGAGATTTCCCTGCATGCCAAGAGGCAGAGGGAAGGCCCACTTACCAGTTAACTCCAGATGGAAGTTAGGTTTTAGCATTCTGAAGTTTTTCTCCTGGATATAAATAAACTATGGAGGAACAGAAGCAAACCAAACCATTCGTTGTCAGCTTTTACACACAGATTTCACCAAGCCCTGAGACAGATGAAGAGCCTGGGAGATAGCACAGACCCAAGGTGTGTCTGCATTCACTACACTGCTTCCCTGAACTTTGAAAGGACATGGAGATGTAAGGAACTAACTGAACAAAGGTGTAAATACAGTGAAGGCAGAAATGCTGAACTCCCACACCAAGCATTTGAAACACTATCAGAACATGCATAGCAGCTTTCCTTCACTAGACTGAAAAAAGAAGCCACACCAGTGTGTTTGTTGCTGGGTGCCCTATGCTCACAATTTTTAGCTTGTGACCATTGAGCTGTTTTATAAACCCCACAAATCCGAGACCAAGTTGAAACACGTGAACTGCACCACACCACACCAGCCAGGGGGGATGGCACCAGGAGTCAGAGACTTCAATCCTGCAAATACAAGTATCAATCCCCTGCAGTAACCCAGCACCTGGGTGGGTTGGGGCCTGGAGACTGGCACTGTTGAGGCGCAGGTGTGGCACGACCCCATTGTTTCAGCAAGAAATATTTGCTATTTAATCGCTGCTGGAAAGCCCAGCTGGAAGGAGGGGAAGTTTATCCAGTCTGGAGGCTGGATAAAGGCAACACAGCCATGACCCAGAATTAAGCAGAGACTACCTGTGAGGAATGATCTGAAGTACCTCAATGGTGAGTGAGAGCTCACACAGATGTATCAGCCCAGCTCTGCTGGAGTTTTCCATGGTGTGACCAGGGTAGGCTTCTTTTGGCCACCAGGAACTCCTACCTTGGAGAACACAGGCTGAAAAGGCACTTAACGCAGGCAAATATAAACAAGCATAAAACAATAGAATAATGGAATAATATAAGAAATACAAATAATAGGATATCAAGCATGGCAGCTTCATTCTGCAGCTTTAATAAGAGGGACAGCAAACTGGGGCAGTGTTCTGTGGACTGGAGGGGAGGGAGCTCGGACAAGGCAGAGCACCTAATCCTGGAAGAAGAGAGGTGGCCAGGAAATCCCAAAAGCCACTAGCAACAAGCCTGGTGCTGCAGAAAGGCCATCCCAACTCCAGAGAGAGCAGGAATGCTCCCAATAGCTTCTGCAGGTAACGGCCTTTTCTGGACTTCTTGGGAACAGAGGCAACCACAGCATCCCTTCCAGTTCTAGACCACATGGGTGTCTCATGGCCCCTTGCAAAGGGAGAACCCACCACGCTGCAACTCTTACTTTGATCTGTATCATTACTTTGTAAAAGAAGATAAACCCAACACAGCCTCTTATTCAGCAGG